TAAGTTTGATTGATACAAAATGGTGAGCCGGAGAAAGGCTAGGGTTCGGGTAAATAGGCGTGGGAGCAACCTCTGACACAGTCCATTCAGAAGAGTCACGAACAGAACCGCCATTATCGTCTCCCAAGGTTGCCATGGAACAGACCTGAATACTGATACCAAATGAGAATTGTATTATTAAATAGAATCACCGTAACAAAGTCTTTACAATAGTGATATAGAAAGATAGACAGAGACTCCTAACATGCTACAAATATAAGAGTAAAATTAACTATCACGTTCTTTTTTGTTTATTTTCTTTAGTATTTTCTTTTTATTGTTTTTTTTTTTGTTTATTAGTATTTTTCATGTAATTTCTAAATATATAAGTTTTATAGACTAATACTAAAATTAATATTATGACAAATTAAATTGTAAACAACTTAAAAGAAATTATTTCTCATTAACGATCAAGATCAATCGCTTACTAGTACTATACGCCAAAATCCATAGTAATATCCTCAACCAAACTAAATACATAAAATGGTCGGGACGAATCAAATGAGTAATATTTATACATATTTAAACACAAAATATTTACAAATACACCCATATTTTGTTATATATTAAATCTGACACGCCATCATTTTTAAACATGTTTTATCTTAGGTTTAATAGATATATAGGCTCTGTTTGGCAGAGCTTATAGCTTATTTTAAGCTACTAATAAGCTATAAACTCTGTTTGGTAATGTTCCCAAAATAAGTTCCTAGCTTAAAATAAGAGCTTATTTTTGAACGCTACGAAAAGGTAGCGTTTCAAAATAAGCTCATAGCTTCCTAACTTTTTTTTCCATCTTTATCTTTATTATTTTAAAGAAATGACATAATTTACCCTTCTTAATTAAAACACTTTTCTCTTCTCATTTATTCGCAACTTTCCCTGTAAATATTATTATTATTATTATTATTATTATTATTATTATTATTATTATTATTATTATTATTATTATTATTATTATTATTATATTTGCAAAAATATTGTTAATTCATTATGAGATGCTAGATCATGATTATGCTAATAGTTTTATTTCAAAATGTTGATTTTTTAAAAGACAAAATGTTAAATTTTAATATGTAAACAAACTAATTTAAATTTTATGAAGATGTCATTTTTAGTCTTTTTACATTTATAAGCTTATCAAAAAGCTAATTTTACCAAACACTTTCAATCATAACAGCTAGCTTAACAGCTCTTCAATTTTCAGCTCCGAACTTATAGCTTTTCAGCTTTCAGCCCCTTTTCAGCTTTCAGCTCCTAGCCAGTGGCGGATCCAGAAAATAATGTGAATGGGGGCGTATTTAACTCCAGATCTCACTTCCAAGAAAAAATTGCATCTTTCACAATTCTGTCTGAAGATTTCGCCACGATTTTAAAATTGTCAATGATAAAATATCAAACATCTATAATATGGTCCAAATACATTATAAATTATAATACAATATTTATGATAGACTACAAGATAGTTAATGGCCTAGCCAAAACTATACTTGGATAGGATGAAATTTTAAAACACTTTGAAATGTTATAAAAATATTTATGATAAAATATAAAGCATAATAATTAGATAAAATAGTTTGAATAGAAAAGACATTATATTCATAAATACTTTAATTTTATTTTAATTAGATTAACTTTAAATTATTCTAAATTAATTTGAATATGATGAAGTATAATATAAACTTGTTGACTACATTAAGTAAATGATTCACAAAAAAAGTAGACTTAAAAAATATTTAATTTATTGAATGGTAAGAAGAGCTAAAATAAAGAAAAGAAGCTAAAATATACATGCAAAACAAGTAGAATTAAAAAGAATACATTTAATTTATTGAAGAGTTAGAATAATGATAAGAAGCTAAAAGCCTAAAAGATATAAAAATGCTATTGGTAGGTTTCAAACTTGAGACACTCCACAACATATTCAAGGTGCAATCCACTAATCTATTGAACACTTTTGTCATTTATACATATACTTACATATTAGAACTAAGGGTTGAGGGAGGGCAGTGGGTGGCTCCGTCACTGCTCCTAGCTTATAGCTTTTCAGCTAGGTTTGCCAAATAGAGCCATAGTTGACTTAATTGTAAGAAGTTGACAATTTATCAATTTAATTACATCAAATTGATGAGTTGATATATTTAGTTGCAACTTAATTTAAAATTTAAGGGCTTAATTTTTGTATAATGTTTGGAGTCTAGCTATTTGACTATAGATTTTGTTATTTGGTTACCATATTGTGTAGATGAACTAAGGGCTGAAATATAAGATTACATGCTATTATATATGCCACAAATTAAAATGCAGGGCCGTCCCTGGGCATGTCTGCCCAGGGCAGGCGCACAGGGCCCCCAAAATTTTGGGGGGCCCTTAATTAAAAAAAAAAAATAGCATATATACACACTGTAACCAAAGCCCACAGTGGCAAAGTTCATGAACCTTTCTTTTAAAAACCAAAGCCCACATACACACCGTAACCAAAGCCCACATACACACCGTAACCTTTCTTTTAACACACGAAATACCTATAACCTATTAAATATTACTATATAACCTATATTAGCCTAATCTAAATTCTAAAGTACACAAACAGAAAGTCGGAAAGACCAACTGCGGAAGAGACGAGACTCACAACAGACTAAACTACAACATTGCCTAGCAGCTTAGGTATTTGACATTTTATTCTTTTAATTTGAGGGTGCTATTTGTGAATTCTAGGTATTTGAATTAATTCAAATATTGATTTTTTTTTTTAAATTTGAATGTTTGTGTATTTGAACTAGATTAGGTAATTCAAATTTGGGAAAGACGACAGATTCTACTCGTGTGATACTGATTCTCCAATTCTCAAACTCTCAAGTTCTTCAATTCTCTTGATAGGTAATTAAAATTACGTATTATTTTACAGTTCTTGTTTATTATTTTATTTACATGACTTAATAATTCTGATTTCATAATAATATATTCAAGAATTTGTTTCTTGATTAATTATTTATTCATAAAGTTTCTAAATAAATTTTTATTTTTTCCTTAGGATTTTATGTCTTCTAGAAAATATTCATTTGGGTTTGAGAAGCGTAAAAAGAAAAGAAGAATTGAACAACTAACTCAATCTCAAAAGGGGACTCTTGAAAAATTTATTACAAAAAAAACTCAAATAGATGAGCAAAAAGATGATGTCAAGGAAAAATTGTTAGATGCTAATCTTCATATAGAAGATCAAGATGATTGTGAGATTGGAAAGAATTTAAATGATAATGTGCACAACGATGACAGGTATCACTTTGACAATGAAAATAATAAGAATGTTGATAATTGTTTAGATGATGTTGGTCACAGTGATAAACCAAATGATTTGCTTTTATTTGACATATACGATCAAGTATGTTACAAGAGAGACTGAATGGATTAGCTTTAATCTCTATTGAAAATGACATTTTGGAAGAAGTTGATATCAAAAGCTTGGTGGATGATTTTGCGTCTAAATGTGCACGACGCATGTCACTTTTTAAATGAAATTTTAGATGTATTTTTTTATACAATATTTATATTTTAAATTTTTGAAGACAACTTTTTGAACAATTATTATTTATATATAAAAATTAATTGAAAAAGGGGTCCAAATTAAAATATTGCACAGGACCCCAATTTTTATTGAAACGGCCCTGTTAAAATGGTTTGAGTTAATACATTAAAAAAAAGGTTTCAACTAGCTTTTAACTTTAAAGTATTTAAATTGGTAACTTGGAAAGGATTTGAGGTTGTGATATATGCTATACTTGAAGTTAAGCAATATAATGTGGAGTGTACGTGTTGGCGGCAACTTCTACTTTGGATACTGAATCTCTTATTTGGAGTAGACTACTTGAAGAGAAATTTGTCTGAATATATCTCTCAATGAGTGGAAGTGACTTGTGGTCCACTGGTATCTGGTTGTTCCCTTATGTGAGAGGTTTAGGTTTCAAGTCTCAGTGTAGGCATAATTGTTTGGAAGGAAGAGTTTGTTGTGTATTTTCAAACGCCTTATAAATATTACATTTTAAACGTAAATGTAAAATCGGCAAAAACGACTATGATCGTCCACAAATAAAAAATATTTGAACTAGAGGAATCTACTTTATCTAAAGGGCCCACGAAACAGTTCAAACACCTTATAAATATTAGATTTTAAACGTAAAGGGTAACATCGGCAAAAACGACTATGATCGTCCACAAATAAAAAATATTTGAACTAGAGGAATCTACTTTATCTAAAGGGAAACGAGGAGATTTGTCAAGTTGGCAAGCAGAACATAACCCTGACGAACCATATTTATCAGGAACAACTGGATAGGACACGCTGGAGAACACGAGCATGCGGATGGCCCAACCGATGATGCCAAACCACGGACGAAGCATGGGCAATCAAAATGACAAGGTGAGAACGTGGAACTGACAGTGTGTATAAGCCACACGAACTGGGACCGCTAAAGAGCACCGCCTTGGTGTTGCAATCCTTCACAGCAAAAAACGAAGGATGGAATTCGAAAAACACATTATTATCATTAGTGAATCGATGCACAGACAAGAGAGAAACAGACAGATCAGGAACATGTAAGATATTTGACATATGCAGAGATTTAGAAACAGAGGGATCGGAATTGTAGCATGACCAATACGCGAAATAGCCTCTAAATTAAAGGAAATACAATTTTTTTTGCTCAAATATTATTTCATTATTTACTAGAAGGGAGTAAAAAGAATAGCAACATAATTTCGATCTATGCTACATTGCGCTTTACAAAGAGAAGCTGCAATTGTATTTAAAGAATATTTATTTGTTTTTAAAGAATATTGACACACCATCAAACTTTCCCATAACAAGATGTCATGGTTTTTTGGTAACCCTAACCAATTTGACTAAAGACACAAAAGTGTAACCACAATTTATGCGTGAGTTCGAATCCCAAGCTTCATGGTTCGAGTTTCTTCCGTCACAATAAAAAAAAAAAAAAAAAAGATATTATGGTTTGTTTTTGAGCCTGAGGATGTTGTAGACCCATGCACCTGCAATGGCCCCTGCAGTTGGACCCAACATATATATCCATATTCCTCTGTATCTATTTGATACTATTGCTGGACCCAAACTCCTTGCTGGATTCATTGATGCCCCTGTTATTGGCCTGCACCAAGGTATACTACTCATTTAGAATTTAATTTGCGGTTCAATATCAGTATCGTGTTGTATATGATACAATTATACAAGTGTAATTGATTATACTCGATACTATTAGTATCAATAGTGACTAGTACAACCAGTTATACTTGATTACTTATTATATAGATATACAAAGTGCAACATGATACCAGAAAACAAAATAAAACAAAAATAGTTGTACCCGGTGAACATAACGTTGAGCAAAATGGTAGCTCCAATAACCAGGCCCGCAAGTTCTCCGACCTGGAATAACAAAGTACGGAGTACTATATTTTTTATGGAGTTTTTATTCTCGAAAATATGATGACACTATAAAATTATTTTCTTACTTACCGCTCGAGTATCAGTGACAACACTTGAAATGACGAACATGAGGTAGAATGTTATTATGAACTCGATCACGAGAGATTGCAAATCCGATCCCGCCGGAGCTGTTCCGACGAAGTGATCATGTTCTCCGTTAAATATTAGCCGTAAGGTTCCACTTGCTGCGGTTGCTCCGATCATCTGAGCTAGTATATAGGCAGGTACCTTAAAACACACAAAATTAAACAACGTTTTCCATATTAATTTAGAAAGAAAAAAAAAAACACGTAACTTTCCCTATTAGGAATGGAACCCATTTATTATAAAAATATATCGTATATTTAAATCTTACTTGTGCACAGGGGAACCTTTTGCAAGTGGCAAAAGCAATGGTGACGGCGGGGTTGAAATGCGCGCCGGAGATATGGCCGACGGAGTAGATCATGGCAACCGCCGCCAGCCCCCACACGATGGCTACTCCGGGGAACGTCACCGTTCCCTTGTCGGCGTTCACCGCCGCCGCCCCACACCCGGCGAAAATCAAGAAATACGTCCCAAAAATCTCCGCAATCACCTGCACACACAAACATACAAACAATTAGCAAACCACAAAAACCAAACCTCAAAATTAAACACGTACAGTATACCCAGAAATCTTTAATTTTAAACCTTCTGGATAAAGGGCAGAGTGAAAATGAAGTTATTATTGCAGGTTGTTTCAGATGCATCATCTACAGTGTGATGATGATCATCGCTGATATCCAAAGCCACTGAATGATCTCCATGATTCCTTGCCATCTCTGATATATCTCTCCGGCGGCCTATATATATATATATATATATATATATATATATATATATATATATATATATATATATATATATATCCGGCCAATTCAAAAAATTATATTATATAAATCTGATAAAGGGAATTGAGTTGGTGAGTGAATTGAATGAAGTTCGTTGTAGGAAATATGGGTATTTATAAGCACAAGGTTTTCCTGGAAATAGAGTGTGTTGAACTGGGCAATCATTACAGTACAGTGAACTTGACCTAGCTACGCTTCTTACTATATTCTAACTGAGAGTCGCAATCATTACACTATTACAGTATTCATATTAATTAGGAAGTTATATATCGCTATAACATCAATTTTTCTCTACTTGGTGACTTTATGCAAAATATTTTGTCCATCCGGGCATTTTATGTGTAAAATTTTACTATTTATGTTTGACTCATCAAGCTATTTATTATTCAATTTCTATAACATTTTGTTGGACGTCAGCTTAGTTTGAAGAGTCAAGTTCAGCATTATATCAGTAAAACGTAACATCTACTACGCAGCTATAAGGAAATAAAATTATATTTCGTAACTAGCTATAAATTTTGGTGTAATGATAAAACGTATAGTACGTTTGATCTGACAATTGAATTAAATTGTTTTTTCGTTACTAGCTATAGCTTTTGGCTGGTATGCTTTTGTTACTAGCTAGTTTTTGATCCTAACATATTTAGTAGTAAATATTTTAGCCACTAATAATTTGTTATGATGTTAAAAGTAAAAAAGTAAGGGGTGTGATTATTATTAACTGAATTTTTTATTTTTTTTTAATAAATGAAAAAACTTGAGAAAAAAAATAGGGGAAACTAACGGAAAAAAAAAAAAAAACTAGAAAATTGAAATAAATGTAGTTGATTTAAAATCTCGAGTTGTGTCCTTACTGGATAAGTTAGTGTCATTAGGTCAGAATTCGAACATGCATGAATATGCAACAACAACTTTAGGAGAGCTATATATCCTAGAATGTACGTGGCTATACTATCATCTTGTAAATCCAAATAAATAAATAAGTAAAATTAGTGGGATCCACTTAATTGGACTTAGCTTGGAGGGGTCAATTCATTTGACTTAGATGACCATTGCATAAATAATATTGGTGCATAAAGCAAGGGTTCAACCAAGGACGCCATCATCGCCGGCGGCCACCACGCAGTGTATTATGCATGGACTACTTCATAAAATATATTGTCGACTAAGAGGGTTTCCCTCAAAACAAGGCTTATGGAAGATTGGTTAGTGGTGTAGTATTTAATGTGATAAAAGAGACATGTGTGAATTGGTCTATTTGGATACATATATAAAGAAATTTTCTAATAACTTGACCCCATTACATACTTCATTTTGTTTACTCATTCCAAATATTCATTAACTCCACCGTACCCAATTTAATTAAAATATACTATGAGTCTTTGCAGAGCTTATACCTTATTTTAAGCTACTAATAAGCTATAAGTTCTATTTAGTAAAGTTTTCAAAATAAGCTCGTAGTTTAAAATAATAGCTTATTTTAAGGTAGAATTTCAAAATAAACTAGTAGTTTTCTAAAAAAAATTTCATCTTTGTCATTATTATTTAAAAAAATGACATCATTTATGTTAGGAACATTGTATTAGGATTTTGATGATACCAATGTAATGTAGAAAAGTAGACCCCTAACCATTAGCTGTTTTTGTTTCGCTACTTTCGTCCTAGACGAGAGTTGCCATAACTCTTTTGTAATTCGTGTTAAGCTAGACAAACACACGAAAATGAGTTATGACTAGATGTTAGGATCTCCAAGGCGAAAGAAGACACGAGACATGAAGAACAACAACGAGAGTCAAGCAGGAGTTGTCAACAAACACGAAAGGACAGCGTTTGTAAAAGACGATCTTTATTAAACATTACTTCTCTTCAACAACGAGAAGAATGTTTCACCTGTCTGATTTGACAACATCCTAGGACAATAAGGACTTCATTTTATGGGACTCACTTTTCAAGAAGCATTAAATGAAGATGTACTATCTCTTGGAGCTAAAGGACAAAACCCTAATGCTTTCCATACCTTCAACGGCTACATGGTACAACCTCATTAATGGAGCATTTAATGCATGAAGCTCCCCGGTCCTTGTCCAATGGTTAAAAGGTTCGAAAATTTCATCTCCCTCCAACGGATGGATTTTCATCACCTATATAAACTCACCTTCATCAACTAAGAAGGTGTTGGTTCTTTATCACTCGACTTACTCACTTACAAAAGCTCTTGAAACGTCTACGATTTACAAAAAGTTTTTGTGAACCAGTTTTTGAGGTGTTAAGTTACTTGGAGAATCACTTGTCTTACGCCTCAAGGAAGTCTTGACATCAGTTTGAAGCTATCATATCTCAGAGTCAAGATCTCTTCGTTGGAGAATTCAAGAAATCATTTTCTACCAACCTCAACTCAGGAGAAGAAGTTGATAGAGGCAGAGTAAACTCGAGGAGTTGAAAAACCTACGAAGGCTGTCCGGTTTAGTGATCAAGGAAGTCTTTGTGTAATTGTACTAAGAGTGATAGTGCAATCCTTCCAACAGTTGTGGAAGAAGAGTGGAGTAGGCAACATTGGCCGAACCACTATAAAATCTCGTGTCCTCCTTATCTCCTTACTTACGCTTTTTATTTTGCTCTCATATCATTTCTTCATTATCATTACCGAAAGTTTGTCTAATTACGCAAACTCGTGCAAAGTATTTTAAAACGAATCTATCTTATCCGCTGCGCCAAGACACCGAAAGGTGACGTTTAGGGCTTCTAACGAAAAGAGTCTATTCACCCCCCCCCCCCCCCTCTAGACTCTCATCTCATTCTATCGGGACCAACAATTTACCCTTCCTAATTAAAACATTTTTCTCTTCTCCTTTATCCGCAACTTTCACCGCAAATGTTATTATTAGGAAAAATTGTAATTTATATGTCTCTCTATAATATATCAATTATCAATGTCACTCCTGAATGATTAGTGGTGTAAATGTTTCCCTTCAATTTTCAAAACGGTACATATAGTGCCCTCCCGTAGTGTAAATGTTGCCACTCATATCTCAAAACGGTACATATATTGCCACTCTCGTACCATACGAGAGAGGCAATATATGTACCGTTTTGAAAATTGAGGGGCAACATTTACACCACTAATAATTCAGTGGTGACATTAATAATTGACATATTATGGAGGAGCATAAATTACAATTTTCCATTATTATTGTTATTGTTATTGTTATTGTTATTGTTATTGTTGTTATTATTATTAATATTATTATTATTATTATTGTTATTATTATTGTTATTATTAATATTATTATTATTGTTATTATTATTGTTATTATTATTACTATTATTATTATTATTATTATTATTATTATTATTATTATTATTATTATTATTATTATTATTATTATATGAAGAAGAATCGCAACAATATTGCTACTTCATTATGGGATGCTAGATCATGATTGTGCTAATAGTTTTACTTCAAAATGTTAATTTTTTTTGAAGACAGAATGTTAAAGTTTAATATATAAACAAACTAATTTAAATTTTATGAAGATGTCATTTTTGTCTTTTTATATTTATCAGCTTATCAAAAAACTAATTTTACCAAACACTTTCAAGCATAACAGTTAGCTTAACAACTCTTCAGTTTTCAGCTCCTAGCTTATAGCTTTTCAACTTTCAACTCCTTTTCAGCTTTCGGCTAGATTTGCCAAACCCATAGCCTATGTTTAGCCATGCATGCAACTTGCGCAATCGTTATACCGTGCACCACGACGCACATAGAAATGTGCGCCCCACGCCTCCCAAACCGATGTCGTTTTATTAAGTTGTGTGGGGAGTTGACGCAACAGAGTGTATGTGTATTCTGTTATATAATTATGTACATTATGTTATACCATTATGTACATTATGTTATACAATTATGTACATTTTTTATACAATTATGTACATTTTTTTTATATAATTATGTACATCCGAAAAAGGAAATTTATGTGTATTATGTTAAGAGTTTATGTGTATTATGTATTATGTTAGATTACGTGCATTATCTTTTCAAAAAAGAGTATGTGTATGTGTTATACAAATTATGTACATTTTTGAAACATGAGATTTTTTTTAAGAAGTTAACAATTGACACACGGAAAGCGGAATTCTAAAAAAAAAACAATACAAAACGACGTCGTTTTGCACCAGGGCGCACAATGCAATGTGCGCCCTGGTGCACGATATAAATTGCTGCAACTTGCGACTTTATTCCTTATTATTGTTATCACATTTTTCCGTATAAGTATTACATTTTTATTTTGATCGGACTTATCTCACGGACAAGAATCCGTAAGACCGTCTCACATCAATTTCTGCCTTTGATAAGAGTTACAAATTTAGTTTTTTTTATCACTAATTTGTTCTCAATTTCTCAAAATTTAAGGACTGAAAGATAAAGGAATAAGGTTCAAATTGGCCTCTCGATCAACGTAACCTGAAAAATACAATTAGGCCATTGAACGAAAAAAAAAAAAAAGTACAATTAGACCACTAAACACTCCAAATATATGCAATTTCACCTGATAGTAGGTTACCATCAATTTTAGCTGGTTATTTGTTTACGTGGCAGCTGAGTTGTAATTTTTAATAAATTTTAAATAATTTTTAATAAATTTTAATAATATTTTTTTTTTAAAAAAAAAAAAAAGAAAAGAAAAAGACCCCCCTCTTCCTTCATCTCCGGCGGAGACGAAGGAGGGGGGAAGGGGGTGGCCGGCAACCACCATGTCGTTTTATTTTATTTATTTTTATTTTTTAAAAAATTAAATTATTTAAAAATTATTTAAAAATTATTAAAAATGCCAACTCAGCTACCACATAAGCAGGTAACCTGCTATCTGGTGAATTTGCATACATTTGGAGTGTTCAGTGGCCTAATTGCATTTTTTTGAGTGTTGAGTGGCTTAATTGCACATTTTTGGAGTGTTCAGTGACTTAATTGCATGTTCTTTTTCGTTCAGTAGCTTAATTGCATTTTAAGGTTACATTCAATGGCCAATTTGAACATTATTCCAAAGATAAATTATTATTTTATGAATTGTAAAGTTATATTTATCGATCGGGAGTGTTGCTCTAGTAGCTATATTCAAACATAATGCTTGGCACACAAATTCTCA